AACATTCCGCTGCACGATTCTAACACATCTAAATCAATATTTTCAAAATTCATTTTATGGATGATTGAAATGTTTGAAAACAAAGAATAATATTGTAATACTAGCATATGTGAGACATTGCATATCATTCCATAACTATATATAAATTCATCAGGGTTAGTTTTACAATAACTAGTTTTTCCAATGACTAGTTTTACAACAACTAGTTTTTATAACGATTAGTTTTTATAATGACTAGTTTTACAACAACTAGTTTTTATAACGACTAGTTTTTACAATAACTAATTTTCATGACTAATTTTCACAATAACTATTTTTCATTTCATAATGACTAATACATTCTTTTTAACAATTACAATTAATTATCATAATGATTAGTATATTTAAAACTCTCATTTTTATCTAATATAGTTACAATATTTTTTGTAATCTTTAAGTTGCTTCTCAAACATATAAGACATATCCTTCGTGAGGAATTCATACTCCAAACTCATTTTTTGTGACTTCTTTGACTTAATCAATTTGTCAATCTTTGTGTTTTTTTTTTCTTTATTGCACTTTCTATGCTAGATAAATTAATATAGTGAATAGCAGTTGCACTGATTTTTCCTTTGCTCTTTCTCTTGACTGTCTTATGTCCTATAAAACGAGATATCAATGATGTTGTGTCACATTCTTCAGCTTTGTACGATATCTCTAGGTTAGAAGATGATGAGTATGCGCCTGAAGTAGAAATCTTGCATATTTTTAAAGAATCATCCATAAATGTCGATTGTCATTTTGATTCATCTCTTAACAACCAAGCATGTTCATATTCAAAAATTTACCCTTTTGAATCTTTTGTGAAAACCTTATGTGCGAATGACATAAGATCTTTCTTAGTCCAAACACTTTTTCTTTGATTGGTAACTTGTTTGTAGTATGCATTAAAATGTTTGAACTGCAAGACGAAATTTACTCTATCGAGATTTTAATTGACTCACTAACCTCTTTGTGAAAGCGCTATGTTTGTTGTCATTATTATATTCTTCTTTGATTCGCTCCTAATATTGGGTAAATGACTGATTAACTCCAACAATTGGATCCTTCAACACGTTACATGAAGTTTCCTTTAAGAAAAAAAATGGTGAAATGAAAGATATGTAAAAAAAATTTATCCTTGCTGGAGGTTTTATAGTGTAAAAAAACTATAGGTAAACAACTACTCAACGGTAAAATTCGAAACTGTAAGTGATTGACTATTTAACAACTAATAACGAACACATTTAATGGTCTAATTTTATTTTCAGCTTTCTTCCACTCAATCGTGTCTCTTCCATTCTGCATTCTCCATTTGAGTTTCTCCTCAGTCATGTCTCCTTTCTCCTCCCTTAGCTCTCTGTTCCCTATTTCATTCTTCATATATCCTTTCTCCCCACCATTTCTACTCACCCTTCCCCTTGCGTCCATTGTTCGCTGTTATTGTCCATGTTCACCTTTGCATCTACCTTTGTGTCCATGTTCGCCTCTACCTCTGTTGTCTGCCTTTCTCTCCATCTCCATTGTTCTCATTTGCATTCGCCTTCACGTCCCTATTAGCTTCCACGTCCACTATCTGCATCCGTTGTTGTGTCTACCGCTGCTATCACTGCATCCACGACTTGTCTAGTGGTACAATTTTATATATTTTAATTTTAATTCTAAAACTATTTATTGTTAATTGATTATTATTCTTGTTGGTATTGTTGGATTTTTCGAGGGAGATTCATAAGAGAGAAACATAACAATGAGACATGAGTCAAACCCACATAAGAATGACTCCTTTTGTCATGAAGACTTTCGATACAAAGACTATTATGACCCACTACCGATCTATCTTTGACTTTGATACTACTTGTTAGGTCTTTGGAAGGGGATTTACTGGGGAAAAACAACACCAATGAGACCTAAGTTCAACTCACATAAGGTTTAAAATTATTTATTGTTAATTGATTATTATTGTTGTTGGTACTGTTGGATTTTTCAAGGGAGGATTCACAAGAGAGAAACACAACAATGAGACATGAGTTCAATCCACATAAGAATGATTCATTCTATCATGAAGATTTTCGATACAAAGACCATTATGACCCACTACCGATCAACTTCGACTCTGATACTACTTGTTAGGTCTTTGGAGGGGAATTCACTAGGGAGAGATAACACCAATGAGACCTAAGTTCAACCCACATAAGGTATTGACATCACTCTTAACCCAAAACCTTAAGACATTATTTGTTGCTCAACTTTCTCATTCTTACTCAATATGTGACTTAGAATACAAAGACACTTTGACCCACTGTCAATCAACCTTCGACTCTGATACTACTTGTTAAGTCTTTTGATGGGGGATTAATAGGGGAGAAACACACCAATAAGACATGAGTCCAACCCACATAAGGAATGATACCACTCTTAACCTAAAATTTTAAGACATTAGCTTATGAATCTTTCTTCCTTATATGTTGCTCAACTTTTTCATTTTTACTCAATATGAAATTTAACTTACACTTGGATTACCCACTTTGAGGGAGAGATTGTTAGGTAATCCAAGTGTGAGTTAAGTCTCACGTTGAGTAAGAATGAAAAAATCGAATAACATATAAAGAAATATGAGCCATAATCAAATATTTTAAAATTTTTGGTTAAAAGTAGTGTCAATCTCTTATATGGATTGAACTTATGTCTCATTGATATTTTTTTGTGTGTAAATCTCCTTTCAAAAAACTCAACAAGTACTTGATAATTTTATAATTTTTTATTAAAGATGTGTTAGATTAATGATGAATAATTTTGATTATATCTGTCCTATGTAGAATATTAAAATTTTATTTGAAAAAAAAAAATAATACTTCACAAAACAATTGTATGTTAATCGGAAACAACTCTTCCTGTCATCTTATTTCTAATAAAACAATTGTTTTAAACAACTTAAATTTTTTTCAAACATTCTTCATTGGAGATGGTCTTATCACACCACCAAAGCCAGGTATTATGCGTTCTTTTTAATGGTACGACATTATGTTATTTATTATGTTAGAATTTTAAATTGTCCCGGCTTCTCATAAATACATTTACAAAATTTGTAAATGACATAAGTACGACATCCTTAACTTGTTCTGAGGTATTACGTTACGTCTCTTGGAAGACTAAAAACATTGTAAGGTTAAAAATACCAACATACATACATATGTCGGTAGTCTTTTTGCAGAACTTTCTTCTCATTCGGTCCGAAACAACATGCAGTAGTCCCTTCTCTAAGGGTCCAAAATGCATAAACCCTTCAAGAATTTTTATTTACTTCACGTTCACAAATTAAGAACTAACTTTCATAACAAAAAAACGTCACAGTTGTAGGCTCTACCTGAAAAGATACCTAAGTATTCTGTGGAATATAATCATTTAGAACTAAATTGAACGGGAAGATAAATATATTCCTATGTGTTATCCATATTGATAAAATGCAAAACTCATGTACATGAAGGGACAGCACCTATTGTCATCGAGGTCCAGAAAGCTCAATGGCTTCAATAATAAAGGAAGGTTCTTCATGAATATCACTATAATTTTGTGAGAAACTGCAAGTCCTTTCATCATATAGGTTAGTCCCCCCTTGTGACTCTTCTGGCCGCACTGACTGCCCAACCAGACCTTCTAGAATCTTCAGAACTTCTGACATCTTCGGCCGCAAAGTGGGAAGGGACTGAGTACACTGTAGAGACAAATCCACTGCTTTCTCTAACTCTACTGGATCAAAACATCCCCTCAAATCCCTATCAACTAACACTTCCAGCCGCTTTTCCTCAAATAAGGTTCTAACCTGCACCAATTTGGTAGCTTGCTCAAAACTTATGGTCAATGCAAACTATTATAACAGGCTAAGCAACATTGTTAGCAAGCTAGGCTTAATGCACTGGAGTCAAGCTTATTATCATGTAAAAAGACCAGGGGGCCAAAAAATATGATATGAAAAGATGAGCTCACAAGCAATTAAAGAAACTACTCACCCAATCAAGAATCATTCCCTTTTGGACCTGACCATGTCCAGCATCTAGTGCCTTTTGTCCTGTTATGAGCTCCAAAAGTAATATGCCAAATCCAAAAACATCTGTTTTTTCAGAAGACTGTCCAGTTGAGAGATATTCTGGAGCAATGTGACCTACAGTACCTCGCACTGCAGTAGTTACGTGTGAATCCCTTTGATCTAAGAGCTTAGCAAGACCAAAATCCCCCACCACAGCTTCAAAACTTTCATCCAACAAGATGTTTGCAGCCTTAACATCCCTGTGGATTATTTTTGGATTGCATTGTTCATGCAAATACAGAAGCCCGCGTGCCGCCCCAAGAGCAACATGCATTCGCCTGTTCCAGTCCAATGATGGCTTTTCACGGCAAGTCTCTGTTTGAGAACAAGGGAGAAGAGAAAATTCATTAAAATCAAGAGTCAACGAAATTTAATACAGGAAAGCATGTATTCAAGGAAGAAACTGCATGAATATGTTAAACATACAAGGATATGAAGCTTGAAGATTTTGATGATGATTCAAGAACAAAAGACTTAAAGACTTGAAAACTTAAAATCATGTGTATTTTACTTATAATAACTCTGTTTTATGTTTTTGAGTCTATATAATTAAAGTACAAGATAGTCAGCACATAGTCCATCATCTGAAAACTCACTTTTATTAAATCCACTTTGTGATAATCGATTATCACTCACAAATAATTGATTATCCTGGTTTTGTTTTACTCCTCTGCAAAAATGGCTCTGAAATAATCAATTATCACTCAAGATAATCGATTATCTACGTCTGTTTGAAATTCAAATATGGACTAATTTACGAAAACTCTATTCTCAATTCTTATGTTTTCGAAAATCATCATTTCCTAAACCCTATTCTCTCTACTTAAGGTTCTCTAAAGCTCTATGCAAAATAACAAACTTTTTTCATACAAAAGTTAAGGAGTTGTGACTGCTAGAGAACTTTTTGTAGGGAAGAAAAATGGGTTTTTGAAAACCTAATATGGGCTAGAAGCGATAAGAATCACTGAATGGGTTTCTTGGTGGATTGTGTATTGTGCCGTCTCTAGGAAAAGTTGTTGTTCATCCTTTATGGATTCAAAGGAGGTGTTCATCTCTTGTATGACTCAAGAGAGGTGTTTTCTATTCCTTATCTTTTTCAATTTGTAATTTGTTGTAAACTGTGATTATAGTGACAACATTAATCCTCTTTTTGAGTGATTAACAACTGGACGTAGGGTCTTTTGATCCGAACCAGTATAAATCAACTGTGTAATCTTCTTTCCCTTATCTCTTTACTTAAAAAGCATTTTAATCGATGAAATTTGGGAAAAATTTCAAAACCCTAATTTTTGTTTAAGAAACCAATTCACCCCTCTTAGTTTTTGTCCCTAAACGCGAACATTCCGCTGCGCGATTTTAACAGAATTATGGTGGTATCACAAGATTTTTTTTAATGTAGAAGGTAAACATTTTAATAATTATTACAGATCTTACACTGCCTCTTGAAATGATAAACTGAATGGACAACTACAGAAAAAAAAAAAAAAAAAAAAAACTAGTTCCTGACATCCTGAGTAATGGAATCACTACATGTCATTGATTTGAATCTTCTAATTTCCACTTTAAGAGGCATGCATACATACTCACATAATTTACACACCTGAAAGTACAGAAATGAATAATATAACACAAACCTCTCAAGCGATCAGCAACACTGCCATTTGGCATGTACGGATAAACAAGTAATCTTTCATCCGGTGTCATACAAAATCCATAAAGACGCAAGAGGTTCCGATGCACAGCCAAGCCAATCATCTCAACTTCTGTTTGAAACTGCACTTCTCCAGTATAGTTGGGATCTTTCAACCTCTTCACTGCCACCAACATTTTAGTTGCAAGGCATCCTTTGTAGACAACACCAAAACCACCTTGCCCTAGGATATTTTTTGAATTGAAATTTCCAGTAGCAATTTGCAATTCACGAAAGGAGAACCTCTTCAGATGGCCAATATCAAATTCACAATCTTGCTCCACTTCAATGTCAAATGTGCATGTTCAAGAGTGAGGAAAAAGCAGTGAGTAATATGTGCATAGTCAGAATACGTGTTACAGAGTGAAGAAAAAAAGTAGAGAAGTTCATATCAGGAAGTACCATAAGATGTGTAAAGAATGTTTGATTTGTACCAGTGCAACCAAAAGACGAGAAGCACAACTGAAATTACAAATGTGCAACTAAAGCCAATAACAACAGCCAGCACCCTTTGATGATGCCCACCAGTTGACTGATATGACCCTGTATCTGTAATTGAATCATCATTTATATGTACTACGATCTACTGATTACTAGGCTTTAAATATATACAAGTTAAAGGTACAGTACCATTTACTGGTTTTGAGAAGCCCATACAAATTTGAGAGGAAGAGGTGCAGAGGAAGTTGTTTCCTGATATACTGCAACCAAAGAAGTAAAGTGGCAAGTAATGCAATAAACAAAATTGAGGTATGCAACGGAAGGTTAAATATTAAAGAGAACAAAAAAAAAGTTAATACCTATTTTTAGCATGTCAATTACCAGGCTACTCAAGAGTCTAGAGCTATGGCTTTAATTTTCTGCTTTGCATATCATAAGTAACTTGAAATTGTTAGATTTGTTTTTAGTAACACTGAACAGTTAACAACATCTGTGGGTTTCCAAAAAGTTGATGTAGCACCCTTGTCCAGTTAAAATTTGAAGACAAAACATCATATTCTGAATACAAAAATCCATCTGGCATTAGGCTTACAGCCAAATTACCACCAATATCACCCCAGGTTTTTAGTCAATTCAACAAAGTTTCTCTTTCCCTTACAATAAATTATGACTAAATATTCCTCAAAAGGGACTTGGTTAAGTAATGTTTAATGTATTAGCTAATTAAACCATTGCATAATTTTGTAACCAACCACTGAACGTGCAGCTAGTACAAGCATTTTAATTGCTCCATTCAGAAGAACTCACGTGCCAAATATAAGGGGAAATCATATACCATTAGAAAAACTCACCTATAACCTTTTGCTAAAATTTTTGGAGTGGGACCACTGAGATTATTGAATGACAAGTCCCTACAACATATGGTACAGTAACGAAATGAACTTTCTAACTTTTAAGGAATTAAGAGGCAAAAATACATTAAAACTGAGACATTGCATACAAGAATGAAAGGCCTGTGAGATTAGCAACAAGCTGAGGGATCTGTCCAGTTAGTTTATTTTTGCTGAGCCGCCTGAAATACTTGGCATGAATAAATTAGGAAGTAATCAATTAGAGAAAGGCCATTGAATAAGCCAAATAAGTAACAAGAATATCATCAATGATGAATCTCTGTGTCACAAGACACTCACAAGTAACTAAGCTGAGTCAAAAAGCCCAAAGAATTAGGAATTTCCCCGTCAAGCTGGTTACCAGAAAGGTCAAGGGTTTGAAGCTCTAACAGCTTTCCTATCTCAGTCGGAATAGGACCAGATAACTTATTGTTCTGCAATAACCTAAGATAATACAATGGAAAAACAAGGTGATAAGAAAAAATGGATAATATAAATGAATGCTTTTCTTTTCTCCTTACATTATATGGTATCTAATAGAAATGAATGTATTAAAAAGATAATCACATTGAGAAAATTAATGTGGTAAGTTGTTAACACGAGACAAACTAAAAAAGGTGTCTTCCACACTATCACATTCTCTTTTTTATTATTCTTAGTGTCTAACTCTCCCAATAAATATTTGGACCAGTCCCACCCACCACATTGATTACTTACAGCTTAACATAAATTGCGATCAAACCCAAGAACCACATTTAAGCCACCAGCTACCAGCCTACAAGCTCAGTGCAATAGTAGCCTAAAACGAATGCATTTGGTTAACAATCTTAAACAATAATCCCTTGTGAACCTAACATGACTAGCCCCCGTTTCCAAAAATAGAAAATGAACTGTGTTCACGAACATTGATGATTGGCCCAAAGTGATCAATAACATATCTTCCATTCTATATTCCAAATACATATCAATAGGTCACAACAATAGTGCAAGTTCTATAAACAAGTATAGACCATTCAAGTTGCAACTTACAATGTATGGAGGTGGCTCAAATTTCCAATTCCTGAGGAAATCATTCCAGATAAACCCGCACTGGCCATTTCTCTGTCAACACCATCAAATTCTCACCAATTATTAACATCCTCGTAGCTTGATAAAGAAATGCCACAAATAACCCTTCGAATATAAAAATTGTTGGCCTCTCTCCCGGAGACTCAAAACTGTATAATCTGTTGCATTAGTCACAACCAAAAGAGAGGAAGCAAGACAAAAAGACTTACAGGGAAACGACATAACCCTCGGCAGAGCAACCAACCATGTACCAAGTACAAGGGTCAACGGAATTAATATCCCAACCATTCATAACACGAAACTCATCATTCATCTTGCTCTTCATGGACATTAAAGCAGCCACTAACAACAACCAAACAAAGCAGTCTCTCACTGAAACAAAGCTATAAATATGAGAAACAAGGAGAAGCAAGAAATGCCAAACCTTCATAGTTGACACCCTTCGGAGAGAGAAGGCTATCAGTGCCCTCAACAACAAGCACCCAATAACACAAAAAGAGGGAAACAAGCCAAGCAATCACTTGGGCATCTTCCATTAAACAACAATAACGGATTCAAGTAGTGAGGAGGAACTAAGTTTTCAACTTTTCTACTGGGATCTTCGGTTCTGAGCTTCTAAAAAAAAAGCATACAAACAAGCAAACCCTTTTGGAAAATCTCTCCCGTGCTTGCTGCCTCGAGAGAAACGAAACTGTCAAGAACCGATAAATTGAATAAAAAATATTAAATCAAGAGAAAAATAAAACGGAAATGAAATGAATGAAGATCGTGAGAGCATGGAAGACAACTCGAGATTTGGGAACTTGACAGTGATTGTCGCATGGTCTGTGAGGTACGACTACAGTGTTTAGCTCCAAGTCTATGACTGTGCAGATAATCACGTGAACTTCATTTTCTGACACCAATGTTGACTGTTTAGTTCGTTAAAACCGTTGGATCGTTCTTTGTTTAGGATTGTGATGTGAATGAATGGTAAAGATGGAAGCAGTGCAAGTGTTGATGATTAAGGGGAGTGAGAACGAGCGTGTGCTAGTGGACAGTGGAAGCGCGAAATTTGATGGGAAGGTGGTATTTTAGTATTTGGCTGTATTTTGACAATTTAGAAATTGCATGTCTCGGAGCTCAATGAAGGAACTCTTCTACAAATGGTTTGACTGTGGAATTCCAATATTTGCATCATGGTACAATGGAAACCTATTATTGGTTTCACAGGTAGCCCCGTTCATAACTACTGTTATATATGTGATCAAGTTGATCCAGTTTTAGTATGAAGTCAGGTATCACTTTATTTTAAAATCAATCAATTTAGTGAATAGTATTAAATTAGATGAATGTCAGATAAAAAGTCTAATATATGAGATGCATAATTAAAAATGTCATATTCATTGTATTGACAATATAAAAGTTACTTGTTGTCTTTTTTTTTTTACAAAATTAGTATTTGGTCCTTTAAACTTAAGGTTGGTTTCGATTTTGTTCTCTAATTATTTTATTTATTCAATTTACTCGTCAAATTTTTATTTCCATATCAAGTTATAAAATTATGTTTGATTTAATGCACTCTTCTACATTTTATTTTCGTACTACTCACCCCAAAAATGCATCTAAAAGGAGGGTCTACATATAGCTAAAACAAGGCAGAAGATCTAGCTTATTGTTCCAGTAAAAACTCAAATTAGCATATTTTAAACATAATCTGCACAGGTTTAAACATTCTTATGAACTATTCTTCACTCAAAATTAATCAAAGAACAATTCATTCTTCGATTAAATAATTATCTAACAATTTTCAAAATTTTACGTAATGTATTAATTACGTTAGTTCAGCATAATTATCAAATGTGCTTGGTTTACGTCCAATCAGGTCAGTAGGTTATAGAACTCAATTTTTCATTATTCTCTACTCAGATGCAAATTCATGCCCAAAATCTTTAGCAGTTACCAAGATAACAAGATAAAAAATAGTGAACACTTTTAGCATCAAAATACCTAAAACTTAACTGAAATTTGAGAAACAAAAAATGGGATGTGGAACATTATTGAAAAGCGGCATTAAAGAGAACAGACACATAGCAACATTACATTTCACAAGGAAAGGAACCGGTCAACAACATTACAAAAATAAGGCACATTACATTAACAAGAGGAAACCAAACCAAACCCAACAACCCCACAATCAAAACCCGTGTGGACCCTCCCTTCCCTCATTCCAGCCAAGGCTTTAGTTTCCCCTAACAGAAGTATGCTAAGTTCTGACCATTTCAGGCCAAGTATACTACTACTGGATCACATCTAGACGTTTACAGTAAACAAGGCTATTTGCCTCGGTAAATAAGATCCAACAATGGCCAGAGAGTCAAAAGGCGTATACATATACTGATGCATCATGTGAAGCACCCCAAGTCTCAGTCAAGGTACAGCTTGAGACTACACTGGCCATGCAAAAAAGATAGTAATTTAGACAATATAACAGCGCCACTTTCGTTTAACTTATCAACTAGTATACACTATACCCCTTCTAGCTTATGATCATGTTCCCGTTGGATGAACAAATTGTATCCCTATTTGCCGCTTCACGTGGTCAGGTATCAACTTGTTAATAAGCTCTGGAGATGCTCCGGTTAACTGTAAACAAGAAGGATTACAATATAGTTGTCCATTATTTATGATGTATAGCTTGGATGTTAATCAGGACCACAAAGAGGAACACTGTATAAATTTTTCAGTGCATTTCTTTGTGTGGATCTATGGACATAGACCTTTCTAGGTTGAAAAATAGTATCGATGTATTATTCCTACTTTGAAATTGTCCCAACAGAAAATTTACTCCCAAAGCAAATGTAGGACCAAGAAGGATATTTTAAGGACTTACTTCCTGTTTAAAGTTAAATAGAGGAGGAAATGGACGACCATTTGGCAGGCGAGCATTGGGTTCTCGAAGTTCATCAAAGAAAGGATGTGCACATGCTTCAAGCTACAAAACGAAAATAGATTCTTCTTAAATTGATGTTCTAGATTTTATAAAGAAAAAAATTCATTGATTAATTAAATTCAGGAGGACCATAGGCTGATGCAATAGTAACTAAATTAGTTAGAATATAAAAGGAGGTCAGATAAAGGCAATCACACTAACCGCAGTGCACCGGAGACTTGGGGAGTATTGCAAAAGCCGAGATGCAAGATCAATAGCTTCTGGAGGCATCTTTTTGTGGAATATCTACACAAACAATTTTGATGTGTTAAAATGTCTAGGAACGTTTTTATACTAATTACATTTTAATTGTCAAAAAGAAAAAATTGTCTGAAGGATATATTTTAGACCTTGTGCCATGGGTGTGCTTTTATCTGTGGAAATCTAAAGTCATTGTAATTGGGATTCATACAGCGTACTTCCTCTCGTGTTGGTGTGCCAAGCACCTGCAAAACAAAATGTTATCAAGATGACTCATAACAAGGATGGTATGAGTAAGGAACATAAAATAAATGTTACACAAATTGTACCTTTATAATATGTACAAGCTGGTCTACTGCATTTTCTCCTGGGAATAATGGCTGCAAAAGTTTAAATTATCTCAGATAACAGATAGGTGTAAGATAATTAAGAGAAGATTAACTTCATTTCGTGGTAAATTCGTATTCATACAATAGTATTATTCTAGCATTAATAATTAATGACAAATGAGACAAACCTGGCCCAAAAGAAGTTCAGCAAGGACACAGCCAGCTGACCAAATATCAATTGAAGTTGTATACTCTGTGGCACCAAATATAAGTTCTGGAGCCCGATAGAATCGTGAGCATATGTATGATATATTAGCTTCACCTTTGACCTGGTGAGTCGAGAAGGTTAGAACAAGAAACAATTCACTGGGAAAATCAATTTATTAGAAAAAAGAATGATCCTGGATATTGTAAGATGAATAGTAGTCGCACACTCCAACTAAAACACAAGTTGAATGAATACAAAACAAGGTAAAAACCTCTAAAAAATATCAAAATATGTTTTTTACACAAATTCAAAAATGTTCTCCACAGCATGCTGTTGAGCAGAGGAAGATATCAACTCAAGAGACTGAAATCTAAAAAAATTAGACCCATTTCATAAGTGCAAATTTTTTTACCATTGCTAGGTTATTGGTTGACATTCTAAGTTACTAAATTGTCAATTTTAAAGATAATAGTGTGTGGAAAGATTGGAAAAAAAAAAACTAAGCATACCAAAGCAAATAAGACCTACTAGAACTTTGGCACTTCCAAAATCACATAGCTTCACTTGGTGTGTGAGAGGATCCACCTGGAATGTTCACAGAATTACATCAAAGCCAGAAATATCAACTAATTTCGAAGAATGAATCTAACTATATGAAGGGGTGAGAAGCCAATCTGATCCATATAAATCATACACGGATCGTAAAGATTAAAAGTTTATTAGAGTCACATGATTAAAAAGTTATATCATATGACACTTAAAAACTCATTATCTGTGTCTAAATCTTTGACCATTCTTAATAAGATGTAATGGTCAATATTTACTTCTCTCACTCTCACATAGAAAAGGTTCTCTCACAATATATACATATTCCAAACATATGAACAAACCAGAATATTTTGAGGCTTCAAGTCCCTGTGGCAAACTTTGGGAACAGTGTGGATATAAGCCAAACCCCTAAAAATCTGCATTCATGCCACAAACTTTTATCAGGCATCGTTTAAATAAATAGCAGATATTTATAAATCACCAGAAAGTATGAGGCATACCTGGTACATATAAAGTTTCACGTAGATGATTGGCATTCTTTGATTAGCATTGCTATAGTGCTTTAAGACTCTATACATGGACTCTGGAACATATTCCATCACCAAATTAAGAAAAAGCTCATCTGTACTTGTAGTGGAAAAGAAACAATGCTTCAGTGAGATCACATTTGGATGATCCAAAACACGCATTAACTGTAGTTCACGGTTCTTGTATCTTCTGTCCTGTAAAACTTTTTTGATGGCCACTGCTTCCCCAGTTTCCAAGCATTTTGCCTGTGAGAAAAAGAAAAAATCAGCACGTGGTGAAGATAGCAACAGTGATGAACCTAGTATTCCTCTCTTAGCATACCTGGAAAACAATTCCGAATGAGCCAGTTCCAACGACCCGTTCTGCCATGTAGCTAATAGTCTACAAGAATGATTGGAGAAGACATTAACTTGGCAGTCCAGGATAATTGTCATATGGCATTTTAAACAAACCAGAAAATAAATCAAGACAAGAGTAATACTATCAGCATAATGAAATTTACAAAGATAATACCTGTTTGGGCTCCCCATTTTTGCCTCCAATAGTTGTAGATATGATATGACCAGTGAGGGAATCATTGCCATTGATGACAGAGGTAGACATCTCCTGTAAAATTGTCAAGGTATTAGAAAGATTAGAATCCCAACTTTTTTCACAAAATAATCCTAAATGATATGGTTTCAGAAGGAAATCTAGAAGTTGGAAGAATACATTTAACCAATTGGCAGACATATAAAAATACTAGTTGGA